CTACTTTTATAATACACGCTAAATATCACAGCGATTCACAATCTCGAAAACACACGCTAGCTCGAAACAGAATCGTAAATTACCTGAAACTCTCTTCATTCATTCATTCTCTCCAGACTTATATACCAAAAAAATAGGGCGTCTCGAATAAACTCGGTCTTCCCCGATAATTCATGATCATTCGAAAAATTCATCACGTGTTACCGGCGTCACGTGACTTCCGGTGTCGGAACAGTAAGTAATCCCTTTGGAGCCACAGAATTGTTTTATCCTGACTGTTTGCTTGTTTTGAATTTCGTGCAAAGCTACACGAGGGCTATCTGCGCTAGCCGTCCCTAATTTAGCAGTGTAAGACTAGAGGGAAGGCAGCTAGTCATCACCACTCACCGCCAACTCTTGGGCTACTCTTTTACCAACGAATAGTGGGATTGACCGTCACATTATAACGCCCCCACGACTGAAAGGACGAGCATGTTTGGTGTAACAGGGATTCGAACCCGCAGATTGCGAGTCGAGCGCCCTAGCCACCTGGCCATGCCGGGCCCTATATCCTGACAGTAATGTACGTAATACCTTAAGAACCAAAGAACTGTTTTATCCTGATAGTGATGTACGTAATACACTTAGAGCAACTGAATTGTTTTATCCTGACAGTAATGTACGAAATACCTTGAGGCCCAACAAACTGTTTTATCCTGAGAGTAAATTACGCAATATCTTGAGAACCACAGAACTATTGTATCGCAGAAATAACATATGTAATACTTTCAGAATCATAGAATTGTTTTCCCCGACACTAATTTACTCAACACCTCGAGAAACATATCCTAAAATATACACAACAGGCTGCCGACTCTGAATGGTAGTTTTAGATATATGACTTTATGGGTTTCCATGTCCATACCTGTTTCTTATTCTAAAGTCTAATATAATTGCAAGTGTAACTATCTGCAGATATCTCTCATTCTCTAATACATTCCACAGCTTTTACTTACAGTTTGTTTCATAATTTTATTTGGTTGTTTTCTATGTGCGACTCCATATTTTTGGACTTAGATAGCTAGACAGATTAATATAAAATAACTAAGTACTCTTCTTTTCAAATAAATACACAAACAAAAGTATATGTGAAATTAAAACAGGATATTATTTATATAGTAAAAATTAAACAAAAACAATATAACAGTTAATTCCAACATAAACTTATTTTATGTTTACAGAGTGATATCTTACATTTAAAAATGTTTAAATGTAATAATGTGTGTATCTAACTTAAAATGCTGTTGTCTGGCCACTTTTCTTATAATAGGAAAGTTTCTATCGTGACAATAAAAGATAAGAGATTGTATATTCTACTATAATAACCAACACAAATCTTGGATTATAGCAGATGTATATTGTTATATTAGATATTATTATTATAAAATAACGAATAAACAGACATGGGTAATTATTACAATAGAAAATTACTTAATTGATAGAAATCTACAAAATTAGAATCACAGCATTACAATGAATTTTAACAGCAGTCACAGTACTATTTAAAATACCAATGATAGTGCTTACAATGTGTAAGATACAGCCAAGAATACAAATAAGATTTCATATTCAACCTGTGGTTGTTATTTAAAGACAGAGCACCCAGAAAATGAACACAATCTTTATTCAAATATTTCAAAAAAATAAAAGAAAACACACCGTACATACTTGCATAAACAATAAGACAATCGCCTATATTGGTTCAGTGTATCGTTGGTAGCTTCCTTTCCCTCAAAAATACTATCTAGCTAAACATTAAGATGGACATGTAGAACCGAGAAAGAATAAACACTTCGATTTTTAAAGAAACCTCCTATTTTTTATTCTGCGAGGGCACCACCACGTGGCTGTTGTTCTATCACAAAATTTGCTGGCTGTAACATAAAGACATCATATACTCAGCCAGCAAAGGACGTTGCAGCTATTGACCCTTTCTGATACTTAAATGAAGCAGATCACAACTTCCTCTTGGGCGGAGTAGATATTAGTTGCTATAGAGAACAAAGAAACAAAGCAATTCTAAAAAGGCAAACCTCAACGCTTTACTGAACCACGTGTTTAGATAAACTGATTTTTAAAATTCCTATGTTAATAAAAGCAAGTAGAAAGCATGTGATATGCCTGCATATAATGCAGATACACACATAAACATATATGTATATATAAACAACTTGTAACTGCGAGAACCAATAACTAAGCACCTATGTGATGTTGCTTACATAGACACATTAGCCAAATACAAAGACAATATTTTTTACATAAGCCTAAAATACCATATTACTGAAATAGAAACTTGAGCTTATTTTGTGGACGAATTGCTGACAAAAGTTAATTAGTTTACTTGCTTATCACCAACGAAATGTAATTAACTTTATGGGTCTTTGTGTTTGTGGATTTTTGTTTATAATATATATTTAATTATTTTATACATAGCCAACAGGTTTATACGTTCATTAAAATTTTTATAATAACAAAATATAAGTCTGTAAACAAAAAAGGTAATATTAGACATATTTCTTTTTTATCACATTGGAGACTAATTTAGCTAAACACTAGATGTCGCCCCACAGCGCTTCACTTGATCAGAAAACCAGAAAGTACTACACCATGATTGATTCAAGGACAAATTTAAGTGAATGTATACATACTTGGTCTTAGTGCATTGACTAAGAACAAATTATTAGAATTGCATTTTTTGTTACTGTAAGTACTAATACGAATATAAAATAGCCTCTATATATTTACTAAAAGCTAGGTACGACAGGGAAGCAAAAATGAGTTTATTTTCAATCCGGCCAGCTACAAAAGACGATTGTAAAGACATCGTTCGGTTAATGAAGGTAAATGTTATGTTTCCATTTTATTTTGCCCCTTTTAATTTAAAGTGAAAAGTTGTGCTACTTAAACATTATAATAACCGTCCATCAAATATACACGTATAACAACCACTAGCAAAATTTAGGATTGTAAGTTAATTTTAAAATGGGTATTATATCTAACAAGGTTTGGAACATACATTTTTAACAGATATTTTTTATTATTCACTATCGTTGCAGTTAGTAATTTTTGTATTTATCTAAAGTTATTAATTTATTGGCCACCTACAACAAAACATTTCTATGATTACACAATTAATATAGTTAATATCGTTCAAGTCTCAAGAAGAATAACATAATTTAAAATCACAGTTTTCTGTATAGCTAAAGATACTTCCGATACTTTTAATTTTTTTGGACTTAAAAATGACAAAAGTTTCGAATATAGAAATCGAAATATATATGTATCAATCAGAAAAAATAAATATTTCATGGCGCATGTGTTCGATAAATACATCTGCCCTTCTCGTTACTTTGATAATAATGTTTTGCCCTAATAGTTTTTTTTGTTACATGTGGTTTAATACTGTTACACGTACCTTCTAGTAAAAACATACTTTCTTTTGAAAATGTTACTAGGAAATGGCAGAAAATGAAAGGATGCCAAATGGCTTCAAAGTAGATGAAAAAAGTAAGTAATTTTATAATAAATTATTAAACGGTCCTCGTTCGACAAATTATTTCCATATTTCCTAGGTGTTTATAAAATTTTGTAAAGTTAAACATGTAGTATCTGACATAATATTAATGTTACGACAGCGGAAGTCACGTGGTGTTGGTTTTCTCGAATGATCGGGGAAGACCGAGTGTGATCGAGCTGCCCTCTTTGTTAGTATATAAGCCTGGAAGAAGAAAGCCAGCGGGGCGGGATATATGAATACAGAGAGAGCAGTAGTCACCTTGAGTTCCATGTGATTTATGATTCTGATAGTTTCGAGCTAGTGAGCCGTAAAGTGTGTGTTTTGCACTCGTCGAGAGCGAAGTTATCGAGATTGTGAATGGCTGTGATTTATAGCATGTATTATAGAAGTGGTTAAGTTTAAAGTGACGAGAAACGTTCTGATTATGGAACTTCTGTGGACTAAAAAGTTGTATCGAGGAAGAATAAACTGGTTTAATCAAGAAAGGACTTGTATCGCTAAAGATCCTCGGTAAGAATTTCTACCGGAAACAAACAAACAAGCAGATAGGTAACAATAATATTATCAAAAATAAATTTCACTTTATATTTTTCTTTCGCTATGTAACTCTGTCAAAAATATGTTTGGTACTGGATGCTACTATGCGAGGAAGTTTTAGATACTATTATGAGAGAAAGTTATATTCATGAAGAGTCCAGATTCATGAGTGAAATTGCCAGAGCACCTGCACATTAAAAGTCGTGACATACGAACAGACAGACCTACTGCTCGGTGGTACAACCGCAATTAATAGCTTACTAAAGATCAATACTTTGCATACATTTTTTTTTTACTTCTATCATAATGATAACATTTATTTGTCAATAATCAGTAATTGACGTAGAAATGTATGATGTCACAAAACATATGGCAAAAAGTATTGCTTTGAATTCCGTGAAAACATGCCAAACACATGTAATATGTTTACGTACCTTAATGTGATTTTTGAAGAAAAATTTACTTGAAAAACTGTTTGTTTATTCGCGTTCAAGAACTCTCTGATGCACACTGGTGGTTCATCAATAAGCTTAAGGACTTATAACGCGAAAATTCGGAGTTCGATATTCGTAATGCATCTTTGCACTTAAAAGCAAACAAATAGATAAATCTGTGGTTTTGGATTAGTTAAAAGAAAAAAGAACATATATGTTGAACATATACTTCAATTCGCTCATAGTTTTATGTTTACAAATACTTCAGACGTGACCTGGATCCAATGTAAATATTTCGATCAATGTTCAAGGTGACTCTTAATAAAATTACACAAAGGAAACTTTGAGCGAGTTATTTTGTTGCATTTCAGAATTTGTAGTGCACAACGAAAGGACTTAGACATTTTAGCAATAAAGTTTGAGATAAAAACGACTCTTACTCTTCGCATAATAATAAAATGAACATATTTCAGCGAACGTTTTGCCCTTGCGGCTTCATCAGGGCTAGTAGTACAAATTTATTTGTTTGTTGTTAAGCGTAAAACTACACAACTTATTTATGTGATAATAAAACTTTTGATATATGCAATTTCAGTTTTCATTTACTTCTTTCTAATAAAGGCTTCATAAAATCAATTAAAATATTTTGTGACTATCATTTCGAGCTTTGCCGATTTTAACTTTAGCTATAGTAACAGCATTAATTTGCTAATATATGTGTGATAAATAAAAGGCACATTTATTTTTACTGGTATTGTATTTAGACTTCCGAAATTCCACTTTCACATCTAAAACAAATAAGTCTTGACTAAAGTACTGCACTAGAATATTATATACAGAAAATAAAACCCTTCACCTAACAGTATGTTGACTTTATCATTTAAATATTAAACGAGTTGTATCAAGAGATTAAAAATGTTTGATTGCGAATTAATTACGATTAAATAAGATAATGATAGGGATAAAAAGAGAGACCCTAGGAAGCCACGTTTAGTTTGGAACTGATAAATGTATACTCATCTCATACGTTCTAGGTGATATTATAACATTTTCATGTCATACGTTTTTACTACTTATATTACTCAAAGGAAATGGCTATGAAGTGAAAAACTAATTAAGTTGAAATTGTAGTTAATCGAACCTACTTCTGACGTTTTGAAAACAAAGCTAATAATCATTCATGTTTTTTTAAAGCCTTACAGAAAGATGGGTTCGGGAAGAGACCATTTTACTACTGTTTCGTAGCAGAACTGAATAAAGAAGAATTAAGCGCAGGTAATATTAAACTGTTATTTCATACGTTAATAATATGTTTATTTTGATAGTCCATTTGTAATATCTATTACTTTATTTTCTTCAGGCATTGTAGGATATGTACTTTACTTCTTTACGTACTCCACGTGGGAAGGCAGGTCAATATACGTACAGGACTTGTACGTTAGTCCTCAGTATAGACGTCGTGGAATGGGTAGTGCCCTACAGAAAAGGACAGTTCAAGTCAGTATTCCCTTGTTTTAAAATAAAGCCTTTTTGTATATGTCATTTGAAGTTGATAATATGTACAAGAAGCTTCTGGATAGAAACGCTGATGATAATCTGTCATTTGACCCAACCCAATTCCTTTTAAGTGGAGAAAATATTGACCACAGATTAGTTTTAATAATCAATCGTTTTTAATATATTCATTTTAGGATAAATTAAGTATTGACAACTTTATAGATCGTCGACTAACAGTACAGAACGCATTTCAGAGAGACTAGTCAAGAAATTACCAATAACGAAACTTTCTTGAAAGATATGTCAGTATTTTACTTTATTATTTATTTATGATTTGTTCGTACTTTTTGATAATGAATGAGTATTTAAAGATATTCATTTATCTGTTGCCAATATCTTAAAATATTAATATTTTGTATAATAATCCAGTTGTTTTATTTCTTATGTTTGTCATTTAATACTTTGGTTTCTTATTCACACGAAACTTTGGATATTCATTGTTTTGCCCCCCAATGGCACAGTGGTATGACTGCGGACTTATACTGCTAGAAATCGGGTTTCGATACCCGTGGTGGGCAGAGCACAGATAGCCCTTTGTGTAGCTTTGTGCTTAATAATAAACAAACAAAAAACAATTCACTGTTTTTAATTTTGTTTTTAACTTATTGCCTGCTTTGAATTTTTCATTTTAACTTTGAAAATTATTTTTATGATTTCTAAATTAGACTTTAATGGTGTATCTCAGAATGCTTACATAAAACGTAAAATACGGCTTTGTTGTTTTGGGGATCTTTTTTTCAAGAGTAACTCAGGAACTATCAGGTTCTACTACAATCCTGAACATGGGTCTCTTAACAAAATTTTATATAATTTGAATATTTGAGTATGGAAGCGTATTATGCTAATATACATAATAGGTACGCAAACAACCATTTATAAGCATAAGGAAAATTATTTATTGGAGATGGAACATACTACATGTTTCGACAGAACGTTGGTCTGTCTTCTTCAGGTAGGATCAGTACTAAGCAATATAAGGTTTATATATCGTTATCACGTGATAATGGCCCTAGCAACACCAGCGGTACTTGGCAAAGTCTGTTCACCAGACTTGGCCTTTACTTATATCCTGTCACCTGCTGACACCATTTTCATCACATTTAACTCCTGTCTTTTGTCTTGTAACAATGTAAACCTTGTATTGCTCAGTACTGATCCAACCTGAAGAAGACAAACCAACGTTCTGTCGAAACATGTAGTATGTTCCACCATCAATAAAATTCTTCCTTATCCTTATAAATCGTTGTTTTCCTACCTATTATTATATAATTTGAATGAAAAAAAATCAAAAACCCCTGATCAGTAAACTAATACATCACTAGTCAAACATAAAGTATATTGAAGTTGTTTTATTGCGGTGACTGCATGAGATATGATTTGTTAAGAAAGATAACATGTTTCATTCAGTATAAAGATTTATAAATGTATCCAACAGGCAGGAATCGAAAATGAATGCTCTCGTGTAAATTTTGCTCTGTTGAACCGGAATACGTTCTCTATCGAGTTCTACAAGAAGCAAGGTGCCATAGACCTCACAGAAACTGAAGGATGGAATGTCTTTCGTCTGAAGAAAGACGACTTGTTCCGTTTAGCTGAAAAATAAAAACATGCATTTATTCTGTAATAGCATGAGATTAAATAAATCGAATAATTAATAATAAACATAATAAAACAGACCAATGAATTTTTAGAATAAGGTTTCCATATGGTATTTGAAAGCATTTGTCAGTATATAATGAAACACATTATTGGACGTTTCTATAAGTTTATACTTTGTACACGATACTGCTGTTACAACTAAAAATTTGGTTGTGTATATTTTGTTTCAAAAACTAAAATGTGTAACATATCTACCTCTGAAAATGGGCAGTATGAAATGTGATAATGGAACACACACGAATTATCTTTAACAGTGGGTTAAACCCTTACATAGCTACGTTGTGGTGAGTAATGGACAACTGAAACACCATACAGACAGTTACAAAAGGCCTAGTGTTGGTTTTCCAATTTGCATTTTCCAGGGTTATTGATAACGGATAGAATTACCTGTATCAACTGACGAATCACGTGCTCGACTGAATTTCATGTTTTTTTTTTGCGAAAACTATATAGTTTTTTTGTTGATGAGAGAAAAACATTACATTATCTGGAACATGCCTTTACAAAAATGTTTATGTAAAAAAAGGAAAACAAAATATCTTGCAGTTACATTTGCACAGTTTTTGCCGTTATGGAGAAAAAAAAACTATGAAACCTTTAATTATTTAGAAACATTTTCATAAACCGAACTTTTTATTTTTTCACTGGGTGTTTATTGAACTCCTATTGTGATAGGCAATTTAAGTTAATTAATCCTAAAAGTAATTTTTTTAAGTTATTCATGAACCAAATTGTTTGTGGGTGCATGATCTATTGGTTACATAATCACTAATAACATACGAATCCCATAAATACACAAATACCACCAATAGTGCAGTAGTTAATCAAACCTAATTACTGGAGCTCATATGTACTTTACATAGAAAACGTGTGATTTTACCAAGTTCCTTTGATAAGTTCCTTGCACTGAGTGCTGTAACACGCAAAACATAAAATTACTCAGCATGATGCGTTTGCTTTGTTTTCTTGAATGTTGCGAAAAGCTAATCGAGAGCTATCTGCGCTAGCCATCCCTAATTTTGAAGTAATAGATTAGAGGGAAAGCAGCTAATCAACATCACTCGCCGACAACTCTTGGTTTGTTCTTTACCAACGGACAGTGAGATTGACCGTAATGTAATAACGCCTCCACGGCTGAAAGGGCGAGCATGTTAGATGACGAGTTTCGATTTTGTGACTGCCTAACCACAAGGCCTGTGCGATACATACACTCCAACAGTACAAAAGTCGGTAATTAGTAAGTAGAATTGTCAAGTAGGGTTTTTCTCTTCAACATTTGCATTTTTCAGTAATATGCACTATACAAAAAACAGAAATAAACTAATAATTTTAGAACATATTTCTATATACAAAAAGAAACGTATAGATGTGCACATTTACGATGACATAATAAAAATATGATAATTTCTTTTTCACACTGTACTATGGACACAGCACAGATAGTCCATCGTACAGTTTGACGCTATAAACAAACACAGTGTACTTTATTTAAACGTTAAAAAAGTAAAATTAAAGTATGACGTTATGGGATAGTTTCTGTAATATTGGGCCCGGCATGGCCAGGTGGTTAGGGCGTTCGACTTGCAATCTGCAGGTCGCGGGGTTCGA